AGCATGGTTGGATCAGAAGGTCCTTCAAGGTCATAGTGACACAGCATGGTTGGATCAGAAGGTCCTTCAAGGTCATAGTGACAAAGCATGGTTGGGTCGGAAGGTCCTTCAAGGTCATAGTGACACAGCATGGTTGGGTCAGAAGGGTCCTTCAAGAACCGTAGCAGTGTTGGGTTGGACGGGTCCTTCCTGGTGAATGGATGGCTGTGTGTGATCAGCACGGCTCCCACAAGACGCCTGCTTTCCGTGGGTCACAGCAGGAGCCCACAGGGTCGGGTGACGAAGCACGCAGAGCAGAGGGGGGCCGTGGGGCTCAGAACAGCGGCGGCCCTCGGCGGGAGGAGAAATGGCTGAGGTGCTGCGTGTCGTGGGAGCCGTGCAGCGCCTGCATCCAGGGCCCCCTCCCCACCTGGCAGCCCTGCCTGCCTCAAGCACAGAACCACAGGGGTTGGAAGGGAGCTGCAGAGACCCCCTGCCCAAGCAGGTTCCCTACACCGGGTGGCACAAGTTGGTGTCCAGGCGGGCCTTGAACATCTCCAGGCAAGGAGAGCCCACCAGCTCCACGTGCGGCCCGTAGCAGCGCTGGCATCACCTCACCTCAACAAGTTCTTGCGCACGTTTGTGCTGAACTTCCTGTGCTGCAGTTTCTGCAGTATTCACAGCACCGTTGGAGCTGAAAGAGTCACAGAATCACAGAGTCGCGAGGTTGGAAACGACCTGCAAGATCATCCAGTCCTACCACCCTCCCTATCAGTACCAAAGAGGCCCTCCAGGATCGTTTAGCCCGACTGCCCTGCAAGGAGCAGGGACACCTGCGGCTCCATCAGGAGCTCGGAGCCCCATCCAGCCTGCTTTTGAACGGCTCGTGTCCAGCTTCCCATCCTCCAGTGCCCCGAGGTCTTTTTGGCAGGGCCGTCCCGATAGCGGGGGTTGCAAGACCTCGCGCTTAGCCTCATTAAACCTCATTAAACCCACCTCACGTGAGACCTGGTCGGTGGGTGGCCCGAGTTTTCCTTGCAGCAAAACGAAGCCGTCCCCAACGGCAGATGGCAACCCCTGCTGCTCTGCACCGAGCTCTGCCTCCCGAAATCAGGCTCCGGCTGGGCTGCGGTGATCCAGGAGCATTTCCAGCTGACCCCGACCCTCCTGGCCGTGCTTTACAAGCTGTCTGCCATCACACCGCCCGCGGCGGCTCTGTGTTCCCCTTCCAGCTCCTGTGATCTCTGCTTTCAAAGCCGTTCTTCTCGCTGGCGCAGAGCTGTTCCAGCGATGAGAAATGCAGCTGGTCCCTGTTTTCTCGCATGGTTGCTCTGCCCACAGCTGGCCGGGTGGCTTTCAGAGCGCCCTGCCAATGAGCGCGACGGATCCGACGCCGCCGTGGTCCGGCTCGGATGGAACAAAGCTAAAGCGAAGCGTGGCCACGGGGCTGTGGGTGGGCTGCCCACCTCCCTGCTCGCTCTGTGCCCAATGGGATCCTTCGCCTGGGAAGGAGAATCCCAACGGCCGGGAGCACAGCAGGGCAGCCCCGAACCCATGCATCTGCAGCTCCCCGCGTGGCTTTGCTTTGAGCCGGAAGGGGCTTCTGAAGGCCATCTGGTCCGACTCCTCTGTTGGATCAACCGTGCTGGGGGTGCAATAAATCCCCCTCTCGTGCCATTGATGAAGCGGTTGAAGGGTCCCCCTCCCCCTGGGGACACCGCCGTCACCGATCCCCAACCATCAACCCGCTGAGCCATCCGCCACCGCTGCCTCTGTACCATCTGCAGCCATCTCCTGCTTTGCCCTGGAGGACATCGCTGTCACCAGTCCCCATCCGTTGACCCCCTGAGCCACCTGACAGCACTCTCTGCGTATGACCTCCAACCATCTAACACTGTCCCCTGGGAGACAACGCTGTCATTGATCCCCATCCATTGACCCCCTGAGCCATCCACCACCAACTCTGTGTACCATCTCCAACCATCTCCCCCCATCCCCTTGGGGACACCGCTGTCACCAATCCCCATCCACTGACCCCCTGAGCCACCCACCACCACTCTCTGTGTACCATCTCCAACCATGTCCCACTGTCCCCTTGGGGACACCGCTGTCACCAATCCCCATCCATTGACCCCCTGAGCCACCCACCACCATTCCCTGTGTACCATCTCCAACCATCTCCCACTGTCCCCTTGGGGACACCGCTGTACCAATCCCCATCCATTGACCCCCTGACCCATCCACCACCATTCCCTGTGTACCATCTCCAACCGTGTCCCACTGTCCCCTTGGGGACACCGCTGTCACCAATCCCCATCCATT